CTGAACCATTGTTGACACTTACAAATGATCAAAACATTTCCATAAACTTCTTTGATATTCTTTGTGGCTACAGAGGCATTGTATCCCTTCTTGTATTCAAACAGGATTACATGCCAAATGTGTGTGTCTCGTCATGTACTATCACTATAAGGGATTAGAGTATACTGATGTTTAGGCTGTTCTTTTAACTATTATACATAATGTAGATTTTTTGAGAGGTGGTTAATGAAATTGTTCCAAAACACGACAATAATGTCTTGACGACCTAATACATAAGGTGAATTATGTGTGACTGTTTTATACAAAACACTATATACATCCTATTAAACACATTATTCAGAACAATCACTGTTACCATCAAACAAGTAATAAACTAGATCAAGTTGGGCAGCTGGAGAACTATTTTAATTCTTTCTGATGATACAACTTAAAAAAAGTTGTATAAATAACAATAAGTCAGAAAAATTTCCATTGAATGACATACCTTACTCTCAGAAGTTTTACAAACATATTTCTATATACTTAATATTTTATTTTAAAACAAAACTACAATTTCTTTCTTGTTTTTATCCTTCTTTAACTCTCAGTAATTTTATTCCTTATAGCAAAGACTCCAAATGAGAATTCGGGGTACTCTCAAAGAGAATCTGGGCACGGCCCTGTGTGCCAGTGCCTAGTGATACCTCTGAGAGTCATGTTTTTATTTTATCCTTTTTTTTTATACATCTCATTAAATGAAGAGTCTGAAATTTATGAAACCTCACTGTGGAAGAGGAATCATAGAAAAAAAGCTGGGATCACTCTTGTCAATATATAGCAAAGACTCCAAATGAGGATTCGGGGTACTGTCAAAGAGAATCTGGGCACGGCCCTCCTCTGAGAGTCATGTTTTTATTTCATCCTTTTTTTTTATATATCTCATTAAATGAAGAGTCTGAAATTTACGAAACCTCACTGTGGAAGAGGAATCATAGAAAAAAAGCTGGGATCACTCTTGTCAATGTATTAACTCATCATAATGTCTTATAAAGCAGGTCTACTGCACACAGCAAACTACAGGAAGGGTACCACCAAAACTGAACCACAGAACTAAGCCAAAATCAAAAAGCTTCACACACTCAAGAGCACCCATGTCTGCTCCTTATGTTTTAAAAAATGTTTTGGTTCAATATATATTTCTGAAATTATTTTATGTTTTCTGCAAATACAGGATAAATTTCATAGACAGTTATCACCACTGCCTTGTGGGTCATACATTAGACAGCTTTTTTAAGGCAACATTTTACCTTTCCATAAATGTAGGTTTATTTGTGTGCCCTTTTATTTGTATCATTTTTGTTTTTGGCCTAGCTATCTTAAAAACGTTTTTAAAATATCATCAAAGAAAAGGAGGTGATTTATGGTTACATTCTCTTTCCTTCAAATGTTAAATTTCACATTACTGTTGTTTAATTTCACTTAAAGTTTATCATCAGAGTTGCTGAAACATGTTAGGTTTTTGTTAATAAATTTCAGTGACTTTAATTCACACAGTATAAAACTGTCTCCTTTTTCTGATTTTATGTTAATCTTTCAGCTTATAACAAAAGAAGTTTGTTTTTTTACTCAATGAAGTTGGCATCTTTAATATTCTAATACTATAATACACTCTCAAGTTAATCAAAACACCAGAAAAATACACTTACATTTGCTGCCATACAGATAAGAGAAGAACTCCATTGCACAAATCTTCATAATCTAATTCTTTTTTCTTTTCACCAAGAAGAACTTTTAGCTATCAGTTCATTATTAAATGCATGAAGAAAAGACAAATTAGTACAGAACTATCTCTTCAATAAATCATTAAGAATCTATTATATCAAAGTTTAAAGAAAATTCAGATTCCTGCAGTACCCCTGATCATTTTATCAACTTTACTATAGAATATGTCAGTAAGTATATTGAGCATATGTATGTCTACAGTGAATATTACTGGCTTGCATATTTCAAAATAGTCAATTAAAGGAGTATAAACTTTAAAACAAGTGTTTTCAATCAGCTAAGAAAGGCATGTAAAATTTTCTGGGGAGATATGGCAACATTCAAATACACATAATATAGTACTATAACGCTGTTTATTTTACATTCTTATGAAAATTTTACAAAGTTAAAAACATATGTAGTTGATATTTATATTTCTAAATCTGTTTTTACAATTTTCCTTATTTAAAACTAGAAAGCTGTGCTTAAAGAAAATAAATCAGAGCAAACTTTGAATATAGCAAAGTTTTAGTTGCACTCTCCTCTATTCATGTCATACTGAACAGTAGTCAAAATGGATAGATGTTTTGGTGCATCTGTGTGTATGCAAGCATGTCTATAAAGGAGGAGGCACAAAATTAGATATTTTTAGAAAAGATCCAAAGAAAGGTTGGGAGCTCTTGCCTTAAACAATAATTTGTGAGTAATAAGACTTAAGGGTATTTTTCTTAGAAATAAGCTTCATCATAAATTGGTACGATGAAATTATAGCTACAGAGATTGGAAAAATAATACAAACACCTGTCAATTTGTACAGTTTATTTATTAATATGAAGTTGGCCTATCATGAGCAGACAATACAGCATTAACACAATGCTTGGATCCCCATCAGTCCTGTTTCAGCCAGAAAGCTCTGTTACTGAAGATGATGAAAAGTCAGCAAGCACGACCCAGAGAAGCAGGCAGAACCACCCTGGTGCTGACTTTTCCAGGAAAGTCCATGGAATAGGAACAGTCTGGATCAGACAGTAGTCAGATATATGAGAGATGTCAAGAGAAAAAATAAAAACTCTCAAATTCTGCAGAGCTATGGAAATTAGGTGCTCTCGGAGCATGTCTGAGCATTTTTTGGGGCAAAAATATGAATATTTGTGAGAGCAGTGTATCCTGTGAAAAATCCTGTTTCTCTTCAGTAAAGGGGTTATCCATTCTGGTTCGTCACCCACCAATAATAAATAGTAGATAATCATATTCGCTAAGTTAGTAAATAACCCAACACAAAACCAGTCATGTACCTGCCTAAAGTTGAAAATTTTCAGTTTTCACAATAAAAGTATTCCTTTTAGGACCAAGCATTTTCATCTCAAAGATATTGTGTCCATTTACATTACAAAATGTGACTAGAATAGCGCAATGAAGCTGTCAAAATGTGTCTGAGCAGCTCAATAACAAAATAAATCCAACGGTGTTTTCATCCAAGTTTCAAAGCTCATATTAGGATAAATGGATTGACATATCTAATAAATATGTCAACATATGAAAATTTGGTGGTCTACTGACTATGTTTATGAAGTTGGATTTCAACATATTCTATTTCAACATTACCTGACAAATTGCTGTCTTCACACGGGCATGATGGAGATTGGCATAGCTATACTGCACAATACATGTGCAGTTGAATGATCCATGGAGAGCAGCCAATGAGAAAATCATGTTGCAATTATATGTTGGATATTTTGTTTACCAAACAATTATGTGCACATGGAACTTCATGGTGGCAGATTTACACGAATCACAGAATATGACCCAGATGACGGAGAAAAATTCTGAAATCCATGAATCTGCAAAAAATTTACATTCCAGAAAGCAGTTGAATGATCCATGGAGAGCAGCCAATGAGAAAATCATATTGCAATTATATGTTGGATATTTTGTTTACCAAACAATTATGTGCACATGGAACTTCTTGGTGGCAGATTTACACGAATCACAGAATATGACCCAGATGACGGAGAAAAATTCTGAAATTCATGAATCTGCAAAAAATGTACATTCCAGAATATAGTTATACCACGAAGATACCTCAAGTGTTCTTACAGAACACCTCATCTCAACAGTAGACATACACAGAGCCAGGGCAAATGGTATGAGTGCTTTCCACTCATTGTGGAATTTTGGAAAACAAGTATACCTTGGGAGGCACCACCAACTATCGGATGGAATCCTATAAGCAAATGCTGTAATAAAAAAAAGAAACATACTCACCCATCTAAAGACTGTGGGTAGACTGTAGGATGATAATTGGAGGCAAGCAGTAACCTTCAGGAGATGAGACAGCCAAATGGTGAAGATTGTGGGCAATGAGGATGTGAGAAGTAGTACACATGCCAGTTTGAAGGATCTCATCCAGTGGCCATTGAAAATGACAAGCGAGGGAATGAGTGAGGTGACAAACCTGATAGGATGAAATACTGAACTGTCTGCAAGTATCAACTCCCAACGAGAAGTAAATCAAACAAAGTAAATCGACGAACCCTATAAGGGCAGAAGGAGATGTGTCCCAGAAGGAAGAGGAATACCAGGGAATGTGATTTGAAAACAAAAACCACAAAAGTGAGAGGGATGAGCTAAGTAGCAAGGAAGGCTATGAACAAAGCACAAAAGTCTGTCCAGGTTCAAGTGATCATAGAGATGTGAAATAGATGGAAGGGAGAGAGGAGAAAAGGAGCAGTCTCCTTCCCAAGTGATTGAAGACTTAGGAAGGAAGGACCAGTCAGGACAAAGAAGAATATAAGAATGATGGAAAGGAGTATGAGAAGAGATGATAGCATATACATCTACACGACAGCAACCACAGGTGAAAAGCAAGATGAAATATATCTTACTAGAAAGGTAGTACAAATTGTAGGTTGCCAACAACTCGAAAGGGGCACGGGTAACAGTGTGCAAGATGACACTGAGGTCCTAGTCAGGCATAGTAGCAGGATAAGTGAATCTATGGATAAGGAAGGACTGGAACAAAGTGAAGACAACTGGAGAGGAAACACCTTGAAGTATCAAGAAAGGTGAAATGTTGTAAAAAAGGCCACCTGATAACAGGCAATGGTGAAGACAGCTGATCCACTGTTGAATAGCCAGATAAAAGGAAGAGAGATAACCAATGGTAGGATAGTCAGGAGGAAGGTGGCAACAGATGGACCAATGTTGAAAGACATGTCACTAACGCAGGTAGATGGATGAGGTAGTAAAACATCAGGAATGGGAAAGGAAAAGGCTAAATGACTGGGAAGTCCAGTTAAACAGGGAATGGACTGGATAAATCCCGAATGTGAAGGTGGAGGGACAAGATCCCATGATGGAACACTGATGTGTGAGGTTGAAGCAGGAGAGAGAGAGTATAGTTGGCAGAGGAACAGGGGGTTGGGTTGTCAGGTGGCATAGAAGAGAGAACTAAGGTTGAGCCAGCCAGAGGGGTACCACCAAGAGGACTCGACATGGAGTGTCTCAAATGAAGGCCAGGACACAAGGTAAAAAACATAGAGGTGGGTAAGCATGATGAAGGGGATAAGACCAGTCCTGGCTAAAGGCATTGACAGGCAGGGCTGAGTGATGGGGAACAGGTGACCAGAAAAGAGTAAACTTGGAAATAAGAATGGTGGCAAGGCATCGATAAATGGAGCCCCAAAGAGAGAGCACCCCAATGGAAAACCTGGGGGTAAAGAGACCATTCCAAGGACAGAACACAGCCAAACAGTCTGCAACCAGGTTCATAGCAGGCCATGAAACAAACCCGTAGAGAATTAGACCAACAAGGAAGGTCCGGAGTTTGAAAGTAAGTGGTCATGGATGGAGATCCCCTTGGCAATTGATGTAAAAAAAACCAAGGTGTTGTCAAAATGAATCCTAACATATGATCCACTAGGAGGGGTAAGAATTGGGAGCAAATGTGAAATTGTTGCTCAGAGGGAGAAGTCTTGGTGAAGAGGTAGAGGTCTGGTTTGGGTGGAGGTAATGGAACAAATCTTTGAGTAATCTATGGCGACAGGTGAGTCATTGAGATCAGAGTTTGCCATGATAGGTTCCTCTGGTTGTGCAAGAACCAATGGAGGAGGTGAATGTGTGTGAAACCTAAAGGGACAAGCAGTTCCAGTAAAGCCATGGTCTCCAAATAGTAAAATTCCCTCACGCAGTATGAGTGGGATAGGCATGAATCCTGGTGACTGGTGGTTCCACAGCTCATAACCAGATTAAAGGAGGTTGAGCAGAGTTTAGAAATATGTTGAAAAACACTCCTAGGTGAATAAGGAAAAATTTTTTTGGAAATACTGACGAACACTGCCTCCTCAAGACATGTATATAGATGGGATCAGAAGGTGAAAAGGAAACATGATGAAGGCTGAGGGGAGAAGGGGAAGAGAATTGGAGAGAAATTCCATGGGTAAAAAAGTAGAGAAACCCTTGCATGGATGAAAAAGTGTGACCACAGGAGCTCAAATCATGACAGCTGGGCACCCACAGAACCCAACTTGACTTTATCCTCACAGACAAGTTTGGCGAGTCTGACACCAAGCAGAAGAGGAAAGTTGAGAATAGAAAATGGAAAATTGGAGACTAAGTTCAAGTACAAAGTTAGAGGGTTGGGTTTGGAGCAGAGGAAACAAAGGACAAAAGTGAAAGTGAGGACTGATGATGGGCAAGCTCAATCCATGATTCAATCAAATAAGGAATATCAGAGCAAAGAAAGAGGGCCAGATTAAAAACTTTTAGAAATTCTCATCAACAAAGAGCTGTGTGAGCAAGGAGATGGTAGAAGTGTAACAGGCCACATCAAAGAAGTGAAGAGAATCACCCACACATCCCTGTGGGGATGGTGGAGTACCTCAGACTTGAGGTAAAGAAGTAAAGTAAAGTAAAACGGATCATGTGAAGACAGGAGTATTGGGCACTGGAGAGCAACACTGATGCCAAATGGTCCTTTCTCCCAAACACAGACAAGGGCAATCCCCAACACTGGAATAGACAAAAGAGATTCAG